GTGCCATAAACTGATATGTTGATTTCATTATGTAGCATAATTTTTGTTGTAGTTTTAACTGCTCCGATTTTCCCATGTTACACTATGTCACATCAAAATAGCTGCAGCTCCATACGATCTCATAACATTCTAAGGTATCAAAGAGTGCATGAATAATGAAGGAACAAAATATTGTAATTTATGTCCGAGTACATTGTACAGCGAAGGTATTGTAAAAGATCTGTAGCGATGGGAAGAAAGGTTAAGCTAAAGCTATTACTCTCTGAGTTTTCACCAGTTGCTGTCAGTGACTTATTTGAATATTCAAATGTGCCACATGCATACACTTCACTGATGCTGAGTGTTGGTTTTGTACTTGATCCCTGTACTCAACTTCTCTTATGCTTTCTTTCAATCTAGAAAAACTGTCTGGCACATGTACATGCATTTGTGCAGTCACCTTTAGAAAGTATTGTTGCATGTTGTCATAGCAATCGTCAACTTTGAAGGTCAGCACCAGAACTTGAATACAGCCAGATGAAACTCGTTTATGACCACTGCCAACATTTCCTCATTCAGTCAGTCAGCAAAATTTACAGTTTTAATCATCCATATTTTATTTTGAATATGAAAATATTAGCCTGATTATAGGAGAATTTTATTCGGACAGTCAGTTAGCAAGATGACTTGCAACTTTGCAAAACACTTTGGTCTTTGCCCAATCTCGACATGTCGGCTCCACTTGATTGACAGGCGCGTCGTTTGGGATTAACTATTTCATAGGGGTTGTCGGCATGGTGAATGGCAAGTATTATCTAGCATGCGTATAAAACAATCATTCTTTATTTTTTATATTAATATGTTGTAATTATTTTCACAAGTTGGGTATTGCTTAAATTTGTCGAAAAATGTCAACCCTTCGCTCATTTAAGTCAGTTGTACCTGTTACAAAAATGGACTAGACATAATAACGGTCGTCACACCCTTGTTATTTTCAAACTGCAGTTGAAAAAGTAATTCACTCAAGGAAGGCACTTTTGATTTGACAAAGTCCACAAACCGTTACACCGGTAATCAAGTTTTCTGTCCGTGTATTCCTGACGTACTTTCTCACCTCGGTATGAAATTGTGGGCATGCCAACACAATGGTGCCATCAAGTCTAGATTGGACGAAGACCAAAGTGTTTTGCAAAGTTGCAAGTTATATTGCTAATTGACTGACTAAATAATTTTCAGAACGGCTGTAAAAGGCGATTTTGTTTTATTTCGTTGAACTGATGATGAAATCAAGATGTCAAATGGAATCCAATAATGTGTGTCTATACATGTACACTTGCAGCTACTTGGCTGTAGCATAGTGCAACATAGGCTAATCAGAGCTGCTAAAACTGTCAGCCAAAAATTTTACAAGTGCTTCTCCTGTCAAAAAGTTGGCCAGTATTTTTCCTGCCAATTTTTTTTGCTCACACGTATATTACAATAGCTTTTGACTGTTTATAAACTCAGGGTTACGATAGTGAAAGATAAAGAAACAAGGAGAAGTAAAGGTATTGCTTTTATTTTGTTCTTGAAAAGAGAAGATGCCCACAAATCGGTGAAATCTTTACACAACAAGGAGGTAGGTATCTCATAGCAACAGTAATATTTGTTATAATGACTATTACCTCGTTTACAGCATTTTATTGGAGCCCAACGGCTCAAGCCAGCAAAAATAGGTGTGTAAACGGGGCTGACTTTAGCCGAGTTTGGCCCCAATAAAGTCTTGGGTTTTTGCACCAGTAGGTGGGCCCTAAACACATCAGACTGAAATCACACTCTCTATCGTCGCCTTTATATTATGTTCCATTCAAATTGTAGAGTTTTTATTGTGTGGATTAACGAATTGCATTCCCCTTGATCACGAAAAAAAGTTTTGTTAGTCGATGGCAACAGTTGCAATTAAACCATTTGTTGCATTCTTACTTGTTTTTCTCAAAGCGTACCAGTTTGTTAAGAAATGTAGATGCTGTCATGACAAAAAATCAAGAGACATTAATATCAATGAGGGGTTGTCGTCCATATTCAAAACAGAAAATATATTGACTCTCATTTGATTGAGGGAGCTGTTCTTGCATTTGCACATCATGTATCAGGGGTGTGGTTCCATTTCTTGGTGTTTTTTGAAAGTCGTCTTTACCTGTTTACCTCCCTGAGATGCAGATAAAGCATACCATACATGTAGTTACCATGTTTTTATGCATATATTTGCATATCTTTATAGTTGTTTGGAAGAAGACTGACATGCAAGATTGCTGCTGACAATGGACGGGCATCAGAATTTATTAGGCGACGAGATTACCCAGACAAATCTCGATGTTATGAATGTGGAGTAAGTATCTATGCCACAAAATGAAAAATCATTGCTTAGGGATTCATTCTAAATGATAGAGCAGATGATTGGCATTTCTTGCTATCTGTTGATTGGTTCTATGCAGCATTATCATTTTTGGCTGATTGGTCATAATAAAAAGGTTTTGATGTTCCAAATGTGTGAGTCTCGTTGCATATTCATTGATAGCAAGCATATCAAGAGATTCTGGGCCTAGCTGTCACATCATGAGGTTTTTCTAATTTATGTTATGGTTATGGTATTGATGTCTTTTTGTGGTACACAGGAAATAGGCCATCTAAGTTACAAGTGTCCTAAAAATGCTTTAGGAGAAAGGGAACCTCCACCAAAGAAAAAAAAGATCAAGAAAAGGCAAGATGATGGGGAAGATTCAAGGTACGTTCTTGCGGAGTTTATTGTCAGTGACAATTACTGCAATGTCTAAATGACAACCATGCTGAGAGAAAAAAAACTTAAGGCTGCACCTGACAGGATTCCATAGGAATCTATTTGTTATTTCGTCACAGAGTGATATATGAATAGCTAGTCAAATAACCACAGGATTCCATAGGAATCTATTTGTTATTTCGTCACAGAGTGATATATGAATAGCTAGTCAAATAACCACAGGATTCCATAGGAATCTATTTGTTATTTCGTCACAGAGTGATATATGAATAGCTAGTCAAATAACCACAGGATTCAGTATAAGATTGCCTTAGCTTTTGAGTGAGATAGTGTATAGGATTATACTGGGATATTCTATAGGACCTGAATAGGACTGGATATAGAAATCAGGGTAGGATAACTCTAGGATTATGAATAGGTTCTGACTGTGTACAAAAAATGATTATTTTTAGATATGAAGATATGTATGAAGATGAGGAAGAAGTTGATGTTGAAAAGGAGGAAGAGGAGGAGGGAGAGGATCCCACACTAGAAAGTTTAAGTGCTGCAATACAATATCAGGTATTATATTATCTCTATGTGTCATATAGTGTTATATAGAAAATCAGCCAGATTACTGTAACTCTATTTTCACTTGTTCATAGTGCTTGAGCATGTAAAGTAAACAAAGTAAACTTTTCAGATGTGATGTAAATATAACACACATTTTCCAAATAGGGAAGACATTCAAACAGGTCCATAACACTTTTGAACATACAAACGTATAATTGTTTATATCTCTCTAAATCTTTCCCATTCCGTGGTGAATACTTAATTGCCATTAATTGCCACAAATTTTTAATTATCTCTAAATTTTGTAACATGTGATAAGGTGAGTGTGCCTGTGTTCATATTTCATGCTATAACCATACAATACAAACTGACCAATAGTATTGCAGAATTCTAATGTACCGGTAATAATTTTGTCATGTTACAGCAAGAGAAGGTAGAGGAAGAAGATTACAGATATCGTGTTGCTACTGGCAACTACCAGGGAGAACCATCTTCATCATCTGGCGCTAAACGACCTAAGATTAAAAAAGATGCATATTTTAGTGATGAAGAAGAATTTAGTGATGAAAATTGACATTTTGCCTGCAGTAGTCAGTTTGATGAGAAATGATGTAACTTTTACATTTTGTGTGCAGTGGTCAGTGTCACTGTGGCTTTCTGGACACAGGCAACTTGAAAGACACCCCTGGTAGAATTCTCAATGAAATCTGTCAGTCAGAATTAAATTTTGATTTAGTCTTCATTTGAAATATTTAATGCAGTTTGTTTGCATTAATATATTTTTTTTACATCACCAAAGCCAGAAATGTAAAATGATATATCATTAGCGAATTGAACATCATAATGTTATATGGATTCAGGACTATTGGAACCCTTTAGAGCATTACCCTATAGTCTAGTAATGAATAGCAATGAAGTACTGGAATGGCCAAATATGGACAATGACATGATATTATTACCTTTCATGACCTAGGTCAATTTACAGAAATTATTGACAGTATAGTGTTTGATTTGCATGACAATATAACCAAATTTACATAATAATATGCAGATAGTTTTGAAACACTAACCTTCATTAGCATTATAATTTGTTTTTTTTTTGGAAAATTTTGCTCAAAGTAAAACTGTGCTCAAAGATGCCTGGATAAAACACTAGTTATAAGATCATAATGCATATTAGTTATCTAAAATCTTTTATTTGTGCGTCTCCAACATTTATGGAATAGTAAACTTAACCAATTTTCAATTACTGTCATTGCCATAATAAACAAACTGTACGTACTTTATGTAGTTCCACACATCCTGGTGTTAGTCTGGGGCATAAAGCTTGTAAATACAGTTGTTGTCAATCTATTGTTTTCCCAAAACATTATTTTTAATGTACCTGTATTATGACTGGTCTCAATAATTCAAGTGATTTGAAAGCTTGTAAGGCTGAGAAAAAAAATATCTCTGTTTCTCGTTGCCGGGTGCATCATTTTGAACTATGCGCCTCAAACGTTTATTTTTCCTTCTAAAGTATTCCTAAATGCGCTTGTACTCATACTTGTTTCAAATTTCACCCATATTCAAAAAAAACAAACTCCTCGCCGCCTAATTTGAAAATTTCCACAGAATGAGAAACAGATTTTTTTTTGCTGGCCTAAGCTCAGAAAAAAAAATTGTGCAGAATACTGTGCACAATTAGCTGAATGTTTTGATCTAATCATTTACAATCACGTTAGTATCTTCAGAAATGCTCACCAAACCATCAGCAATTTAAGCTTCCAATGTTGTTGTTTCAGTGTTTGCAACAATGTGGTAGTCACAGCTAACTGCTATTTGTACGACTACAGATGTTTACAAAGAGCTAGTCTTATTAGATGACCCACATCATTCATTTACTTTCATTCCAGTATAAACACTCTGAATTCATATTGAACACTGTCCAGTATTATATGCACCATAATATTATCACAATTTTAATCAACTTATTACTCGCCATCACATTTATGCAACTACCAGTACACCACATGGTTTAGAGACTGCTGCTTTGATCAGAGGTACATTACTTGGGGTTTGCAACTATGATGACATGATACCAAGATCCTGATCAATCTGGCCTCGTGTTCCCAGCTCAGAACAATGCGAATGCTCATGCCCAAGATAACTAGGTTACTGTGTAGTCCAGATGGATCAAAATAGCTGCCCACGATATGACGGATTACGAGAACTATATTTTTTTCCCACAAACCTTGAACATTGATACATGTCATGTCAGAAGGTCGTAGCATCAGTCTCGCTATCTACGAGATGAGACTTCAATGGGATCTTGACATGATGTCACCATACAGTACTATGCGTGTTGCAAACCCCAAGTAATGTACCTCTGCTTTGATTTAAGATTATGACAATCACCAAAGTTCAGCTGGTTCATGTAAACTGCTGTGATAGTTTCACAGCCTAAATTATGGGTGTGTTTGTACCCTTATGCAATGTGAACATTTGGCTTCCTAATGTTTGGTATATCCTGTCCTAGGGTACAACTGCCAATATTCAGTGAGTGATGTATAGCACAGAAATGTTGAATATCCTTTATTGCAAAATTAACTGAATGTTTTAGTGCTGTGAAATGTTTTTTTTGATTAAGTTAATCTAAAAAAATGTCACCCTCTGACAATCTGCACGCGAGTTTTATGGGTAGCATATGCAATTGTACATCAGCGCAATTTCATCAAAGTATTAGGTGTTTTCTAGTAATTTGTAAAAAGTTTTTTTTTTTTATATATATGTGAATTGGGGGAGAATTTTTTTTCAACTCGTATTATACTATCATTGTCGATTGATCGATAATTTCTATTAGGCATTTTTAACCAAATTCAAATTTATCATTATTGAGCATGTTACTGCACATACACACAATGCATTATGGGAAATAACCACCCACCATTTGGTATGTGAATAACGGTAGTTCCCTTTCTGAAGGATGGAAGGAAGGGTCGTTTGATTTGTGTTTACACAGTATACGCAAACATTAATGTACCTCCACTTTGAAATGCGTTGCATATTTGTGTTTTTGAAAAAATAACATGGGATCAAGTAATTGCCTAGGGCAATTTTTTGGCAGTTTTTAGCTCCGCTGTCGACTTTGTCGAGCGGAGCTTATCATATGAGTGATTGTCAGTCGTCGTCCGTGTCAATGTTTTACTTTTTCGACTTCTTGAAAACTGCAAGCCTGAATGCTTTGATACTTCGTGTATATGTACCTTGGATAGATATTTTTGTCAAATATCACTTTTTACCAAAAATGACAAAAATATTCATCAAAA